TAGGAATCTCTTAAAATTATTACTTTGTTCATAATCTTTCTCTAGTATTGGTTTGAAAAAAATGCTCCAACACTATAGACAGTATTTTGCTATGTTTACCATGACACAAGAGGGGCAGTTATAGACAGAATCAATTTGTGATGTAATAGGGAGCAGTACAGAAGTGTGGGTAGTACATACATTTTAGTTATCAGGGAGAGAATGGATTAAATCTTAGTTGTGAAGGTTTATGTATCACATAATAAAGGAAAGGGTCGACAATTAATTCCATTATTGAAGCAAATTCTCAGCAAAGCATAGAGCTTCAATATTTCACTTTGCATTATTCGTGTTTCAATATTTCCAGGGGACAACTCATTCACTCACTGCCTGTCAAGTTGGAATAAACTTATAACTGACCTCCAGAAGTTATCAAAGAAAATTGCCTATCTTTCTACCAATGAGCAGCTGGTGGATTTGAACCACTGTCTTTTGTTTGGCAGCACAACTCCTTACCTACCAGGCCACCAAAGTGTCTAGCTAACTAGATCTATAGAAGGATAACTGTAGTTAGCATATATCTCTTAACATTATATTTGTGAGTGAGACTTTATATTAATTTCTTAAGACTTATCCAATCATATTCTTAAAAACATGATAGTAATTCTCACATTATAATTTTGATTCCTTTCCAAATGTGCTGACATTGACTGATCATACCCAATGAAATTTTTCTTTGACATATGACAAGCATGGTAGCCTTGAAAGAAGTGTAATTTGGGTGCTTACCATTTCATTGCTTAAAAATTCTCTTTATAGAAAAGCAAAAGTCATTGCGAAGTAACAAGTGAGGTTTGTGACTTTTGTTGTAATCAATATATCACACAATTTATATCACACAATTCACAAAGCTCCTTTATTGCTAAGAAATATAAATATTTCTTTCACGTCTGCATGATGACTAATAAGAACTGGACTCTGTTGGTAATACAACAGAGGATGATTAGCAAGCCCATCTTTACATGTCTACTTAAAGTATAATAATTCTTTTAATCCTAAAGTATAATGTTTGAATGTATTTTCATAATAAGCTTATATACCACAAGTACTCAAGTCTCTGGCTGCTTATATTTTTATTTTTTTTTACTTAACTATTAATTTGTGTTACCTATAAAGTAGAAATTTTTAAAAAGAAATAGATCTCAAACAAGAATTAAGTAACAGTTATATGTTTCAATTATAATCACACTTTGAAAAATTTAAAGGGTAATTATCCAAGTGTGTAAGGACTCTGCTAACACTGCATTAACTCACTAGTCATTGTCATAAGAACCACCTCACAGCTGAGCGTCCTCTGACTGCAAATCTCACCAGAGGAGATGCCTATCTCTCTAATGGGTCCGCTAGCGGATTGGAAATACCAGAGACAGACACTATGCGCTGGGGTCAGCAGTGCAAAGGCCTCCAGTTGACAAACCAGCTCTGACATAGTTGATCAATCCTTGAAGATGAGTTTAATGAGTGAAGACATTTTAAAGTGAAAAATCCAAGATCACGCTCATGTTTGAAACATTAAAAAAATGTGATAATAATATTACCTCAAATTCTAAATATTGTTGACCACTTATTAGTGTGGATTCAGGCACATTGGTGAATTGATGTCAAGAATTATATTAAAATTCAGCAATCTGTCTAACCATGGACTTCAAATGATGTTTTAAAAATGATAATGGCTTTATTTCTTCCATAATCAATTTCTATTTTATTTCCATCAAATCTGTTTATGCTACCTCGATAGTTCTTTTGTCTCAATGTCTCTTCAATTATGCTCATTTTTCCCTTCCACCCACATATTTTTCAGAATAAAATATGTGCTTAGGACTGTCCCAATTAAACATGAAAAATATACCTTTAAATTAAATTGTATGTTTAAAAGCAGTTTACATTGCTATAGCCATTGAGCTTCATAACCTCTCAGCTATAATCACATATACTCTGATGGTCTATTGAATAAAAGTTGCACTGCCAACTCAAATGTAGGATGTTGAAATCCAACAACTGTCCTGAGGGTAAAAGATGGGCAGTCTCCTCCCTTGTTACTAACAGCCTCTGAAAACCCCCTGGGTGTGGGTGGCAGTTATGCATAGGGTCCAGCTTGACTGCCGTAAATTTGAGATTACTACTAAAAATGTGTCTAATTAAAATAGATGGCTTATAACTTCTAATTTGTTTTGTCCCAATTTTTCCCCAGTAAACAAAAATTAGTATAAAATATCTTGTCTTTCTTACAAATGTATTTTGTTTCCCCTTACAGTTTTACATTTTAATGAAATTCTTACAGAAATGTTTTTTCTATAGGTTGAAAGTTCTTCTGATAATTCTGGCCTTACTTTTCCAAAGATATTAGAGGTAATCAGATGGTTTTCTCTTTACTAATTTTAATCTAAATGATTCTATTTATTTTAATATATTGAAATCAGCATTTGACTTGAATTGTTAATTTAAACAGTTTATAGGATATTATTTTTAGTGAATTATGTATCCATAGACAAGTCATTCTTAATCAGCAACACATTAAGATGAAGTATGGAGAGAATATGTTAAAAAAAAAGAAGGTAGTAAAATAATTATAATACATATCATTGAAGTCGTGCTACAGTATGAGATAATCATTTTAAAATATGGAGTTCTGGAAGACTAGTGGCAAGGACTTGCTCTGTGCCCCCACTGGCCGCCAGCTGGAATCCACCAGCCCTTCCAAGAGAAAAGATGGGCAATTTCCTGCTGGAGGTGCTTCTGAAAACAACAAAATGTTCAGCTATGAGTCATTTATTATCAACAGAGGGTACATAACAGCAACATCAATTGAAATTACTGCCATCAGCCCATAACCAACCCTCTAGTGAGTTTTCAGATGATCTAAACCACGTGGGAAGTGGTTGCCTCTCTTTTGATTGCTTTTAGATTAGCAGCATACCACCTTACAGATTGTGCCACCAGAGCGCCTGTCCTTAAAATTTCAGTTCAAATGTAGAGGCCTCCTTTATTTCCGATTTATTTTGTCGTGGGATTGTTCCATCTATTTTGTTTTTCTAAAATTTGTGGGTTTTGGGTTTTTTTTTCAATCTTAACTTTTTCATGTACCTACTTTCAGAATCTTATTTCCATATTTTGTGAATATCTTAATATTTAATACTGGTTGTTTGATTGTTATTTCAACTGAGTCCACAATCAACAACACGTAAGCTTAAAATTTTGAAATAAAAAACCTTAGAAGACTGTAATTTGAAATCATGAGTCTTAATTTCTTATTTTTAATTTCTCAAATAAATAAATACACACACACACACACACACACTCCATTTTGGAAGCTGCAGTGGCATCCACTTCTTAAACAACATACCTCTGGAAACTCTATGAACTTGGAGAAACAACAATTGTTATAAAAAATGAGGGGACAGCATAAACCCCATTTTTTATGAACCCCCATTAATACAAGAAGCAGAAGCGGACCATAAAAATTCTTAGCTTAAGGCAAACACAAATGCCCCGGGTTAAGTTTTATCTGTCCTTGCAAAGTAAAGAATTAACTAGTGTCTATGTGACACAAAAAAAGTAAAGGTGGGCAAAGTAGGCAGGCCGTCAAAGCTGACCCACATGACTGATTCCCCACCTCACCAACCACGATCTCAATCTCCCCACCCTGAAAGTGGCACCCAGGAAAGCCATAAGAGCAATTATGAGGGGTGACTCAGGGCTTTTTCCCTCGCCACCTTCCGAAGGAGGGAGAAAATCTCCACATGCGGAATATAATGCTTATTTGTGTTCACAAACGTGTGGGTTAATTCTTTTAAGGGGCATTTCATTGGCAGAACAAAAGGCTTCAGGTCTTCTGTTCATTGGGTCACTATGAGTCATTTTATATATACCATGAATGTTTGAAGGAATGGGGGGGGGAGTTTCAGGCACACAAATAGTGAAATATTAAGAATAAAGAAGGACAGTGAGAAAAATTTGAGAACGTTTAAAGAAACATACATTTCCACAAACATTTAATTTGTCATGGTTGATCTTTACAAAAATATTTTGATAAATTTGGTGATGCTCAAAAATTAATGTAATTGAAAAATATTTAGACTTATCTTCTCCCTACAACCAACTTATGTCAGCAAATCATATCCTTAAAATTTTATTAATCATTAGACATTATTAACTTATCTCTTTCACTCTTATAAAAATTGAAATGTTTATATTAAACATAAGAGAAACAATAATTATTCAATGTATAACAAGATTATAGCAAACAGTTTACAAAATTTTTATATTATGTTTTACATTATAATATATAACAGAAATATTACAGGTGTTCTATTGCAATGCTCTGTGAATTTATTTACTTAATTGTTTAGATGTGAGAGGATATTACTTTTATAAATAGCTTTATTAAATCAAACCATTTTATCCTATTGCTTTGGAAATGACTTTTTCTTTACTTTTTATTATTATTATTATTAATTTTAATGAAAATTTACAGAGATTTTGGATTTTCATTCATTGATTGTTACACTTTTCTCCCTGCCCATCCCTCCCCTTTAGTTCATTCTTCTCTTTGAAAAGTAAAAGAAAAATTCATTCACTGTTATACAATCCCTCCCCCTAAGTCCACTCCACTCCACTATGCAGCCTTTATTCTGGACTCCTGTCATGACAGTAATACCTAATCATATATACCTTTTAAGCAGTTCTCTCTCTCATCTGTGTCAATGCAGTATTTGTAATTTATCCTCTCTTTCTCAGTCTCTTAACCAGTAAGTAAAAGTCTTTCTTTCTTTTGGTTCTGCAGGGTGTGACACTGACACATCAACTGTCCTGTCTTTCATTTTCTTACGAGTTACTGATGGGAAATAATATACTGATGAGAAATCTATATGAACGTATGAGTAATATTCCTTTGAGGTACAAAATTATCAGTCCTGTCATATGAATTATGATCTTATGAATGCTTCTAAGTTTGTTCTATGAGGTTTGTCAACATGACGAATCTTTCAGAAGTCAGGATATTTGTACTGAAGGGTTTCACAGATGATTTTGAGTTGCAGTTGATCTTATTTTTTCTATTTCTGGCAATCTACCTATTTACTCTGATAGGAAATTTAGGCCTTGTTGTATTGGTCATTGGGGATTCCCGGCTCCACAATCCCATGTATTATTTCCTCAGTGTGCTATCGTTCTTGGATGCATGCTATTCCTCAGTAATCACCCCAAACATGTTAGTAAATTTCATATCGAAGAATAAAGATATTTCATTCCTTGCATGTGCTATCCAGATGTTCCTCGCTGTTACCTTTGGGACTACTGAATGCTTTCTCTTGGCGGCAATGGCTTATGATCGCTATGTAGCCATCTACAACCCACTTATGTATTCAGTTAGCATGTCACCCAGAGTCTATGTGCCGCTCATTGCAGCTTCTTACATTGGTGGTGTTTTGCATTCCACTCTACACACAGCAGCAACTTTTAACCTCTCCTTCTGCGCCTCCAATGAAATTCGGCATGTCTTTTGTGACATCCCTCCACTGCTTGCCATCTCCTGTTCAGACATTCACCTCAACCAGCTTCTCCTCTTCTACTTTGTGGGTTCTATTGAGATCTTCACCATCACGATTGTTCTAATCTCCTATGGTTGCATTTTTATGGCAATTCTCAAGGTGCGTTCTGCAGACGGAAGGCGAAAAGTGTTTTCAACTTGTGGCTCTCATCTAACTGGAGTGTCGATTTACCACGGAACAATTCTCTTCATGTACGTGAGGCCAAGGACCAGTTACGCTTTAGATCATGACATGATAGTGTCTATATTTTATACTGTTGTGATAGCCATGCTGAATCCCATTATATACAGTTTGAGGAACAAAGATGTAAAAGAAGCCATTAAAAAAGTTTTGGGGAAATGTGTGATTAAAAATAAAGTATATTATTAACACAAAAATTAAATTTAGAGAAAAAAGTGCTCTCTTGGATTGTGTTTCTATGTGAAAAATATGACAAAAATTCAGTTTTGTTTTAATTATTTCTTTGTCTCTCTTCTTTCACACTTTGAAATAAAGACAACAGTAAAGTATCCACTTAGGTGATTTAGCATGTGCAGAAAAACTATGCCATTATCTGCTTTTCACCGCATTAATTCATTCATCACTATTTACTTATTGGTCTAATGAATATATACTAGGTAAATTAACCAATATGAGTAAGTCCACACACATTAGCTGAGTGAGAAAAACTGGCAGAACATATGATACTCCATGGGGAGTGTTGGTGCAAACTCAAAAGTGGGGCTTCTCTGGAGGTTCAAACCCACCAAGAGCTCAGTAGATGAAAATTGAGTATTCTTCTCCCTTGCAATTTTCAGTCTCAGAAAATCCACTGGAGGATTAGCTATCTTTTGTTTTTGTTATGTGCTGTCCAGTTGCTTGCAACTCATAGCAACCCTAAGTATAACAGCTCTGAACCTTGCTCTATCCTCAGCCAACCTTATTGTCTCTGACACACCTATCCCCACTACCCCAGTCACTGAGTCAATCCCTTCCATTCAGGGTCTTCCTCTTTTGTGCTGCCCCTTCACCCTCCCAAGCATGACGTTCCTCTCCAAGAACTGATCCCGCCTTGCAACAGTCTATTACAATTCAACAGCAATGAGTTTGAGTTAAACTTCAAAACTATAGCACATATTTACAACGAGGTTATAATATATTAATGTTAAATAACAACACCCAGTATATCAATAAAATTTTGTGTAGATACTGGGTGGTTAATAGTAAAATTTTGTGATTTGAGTTCCCTCAGAGTCTCCATGGAAAACTGAATGGAGCACAGTCCTACTCTGATGCCCACAGGGTTACCAAGAGGCAGAAGAGTCACAGTTGGCCCATTGATAACTAACATTACATAGATGAAATATAAAATTAGGGGAAAAGTATTTTGTCCTATTCCATAAAATGAAGATTTTAAATAATATGATGTAAGTTGTCAAAGTTCCTTTATCAGTGTAAAAATATCCTTAAGGACCGATTATTATGGTATGTAAATAAAATGTGCTGCTTCATTTCAGCTTTGAGATAGATATTTTACTTATTTCCTAATTTATTCTCGCTAACAGTGACTTAGTAAAAGTCTATTTTTTTCTTTATTGTATTTAGAAGCTGCGAATAAAGATGAAAATATTCACAGCATACACTTTTCTTTATAATGCATATGAACTAGGAAGTGCCTCAGAGAGAATTATAAATGTTATTATTGTTTTTATATGCTATGGAGTCAAAATCAACACATATCTGATCCTCTGGGTAATTGTCAAAGGCTGTAAATCATATGAAGCACATAGTCCATCTGTCCTCTCAGAGTATATTGTGAATTTTAACCATCGGCCTTTTTGTTGACAACCATCAGAAGTTAAAAATTATGTTTGGGCCATGGAAGTTAAAAATATTATTGATAATTAATTGCAATAGTTATGCATTATCCATAAGATGTTGTAAAAAGTATTAAAATATATAATTACCTACTCTAATAAAAACTAGAAATAATGTAAAAGGTTATTTATACTTGTTTTTTTAACAGTGTTAATGATAATCTGTCTCAATAAACATTAGATTTTCAAAGTTGTGTATGTCATCAACCTTTTATAGAAAATGTAGTGAAGCTTGTTGTTGATAATAGAATGGCAGTTTTATATTAAGATATAAATATTAATTTTACTGTGTCAATTAATATTTTTCATTAAGAGAAGAACCTTATCTTAATTTCCAAATGTTGGAATTTCCTTCACACAAAGGGACCAAAGGCATGGCAAGAGAATATATAAGGAACACGTATTTAAAAGAAAGAAAAGAATTAAAAATGTCATTTTTATGAGATCATTGCATGTGCTTGCTATGTTTGTGTGCACTCTCATCATTTAAGTAAGTTGTTGTTAAGTGTCATTAAGTCACTTGTGACTCATAGTGATCGTATATAGAACAGCCCTAAAACCTGTTGTATCCTATGCCAATCTCATTGTCTCCAACACACCCACCCTCATTATCCCAGTCACTGAGTCAATTCATCTCATCCAGGGTCTTCCTCTTCAGTCCTGTCTGTCCATCCTCCGACGCATGATGTCCCACTCCAAGACTGGTCGCACTTTACAACATGAATAAAGCATGTGAGATGGAGCTTCAGAATCCTTGCCTCCAAAGAGCAACCTGGCTTCACCATCTCCACGACAAAACTGTTTGTTCTCCCAACAGCCCATGGTATATTCAGTCCTCTTCTTCAGCATCACAGCTTAAGGCACCAGTTCTCCTATCCTAGTCATTGCCCAGCTCTCTGATGTACAACAAATATTTGGAAGCAGGAGTGGCATCCACTTCCTAAACAACATGCCTCTGAAAACTCTATGAACTACGATAAATGGTGACAGTTAAAGAAAAGTGTCAGATATTTTGTTCATAGAGTCACTATGAGCTCGGCTTGACTTGACTGCAATCAACAACAACATGTCCTGAATCAGGCACACCTTAGTCTCTAGACTGACATCGTTGCTCTTCATTACTCTGAGAGCAGATTTCCCCAATGTAATTAATCTTTTGATTTAATGACTGCTGTTACCAAGAGTGTTGATCGTGGAGTCAATCAAACTAAAGCTGTTCACAATCTCTCTTCACCATCTATCATGATGCTGCCAATTGACCCAGTCATGAGAATCTTTGTTTTCTTGATGTTAAGTGTGAATCATATTGGAGGCTATTGTCCTTGACCTTGTGCAGTAAATGTCTCAGGTCCTTTTCAGTTTTGGCAAGCGAGGTTATATCATCTGCATTATGTAGGCTTTTGATGCAACTTCCTCTATTCCTGATGCCACATTTCTCCTCACTGAGCCCAGGCTCCCAATGATGTGTTCCGCATATGGATTGAAAACATATGTAGAGAAGATAGATTCGTGGAGTATGTCTTTCCTGATTTTCAACCTTGTTCTGTTCTGATGACTGCATCCTGGTTCAAGTATAGGTTTCACATAAGCAAAATCAAACATTCTGGGATTCACTCTTGCAAAATTAGCCACAGTATATTTATTGTGATACACACAGGCAATGGAGAGTCATTAGACTATCTTTGTCTTTTCATTGTTTGGGTTAAATTTTGAGTGGCTCTTTGTCAAATGATTATTTATTTTGTCTTTATTGACCTGTATTGGGTGGAATTTTAGCCTTCACCTTCAGAGATTCCAGACATAGAAAGATACATGTTTTAGCTGGAAGATCTTTAGGTACTTCATACATTTGCATGCTTCATAGAGTAAACTTAGGTTGGATCACAGCAGATCTCTCTTCACAAGTTGTGTGGTTAAATGCTTTTCAGTTGAGTACAACTCATTGCCACGCAACAGATCTCTGACCAATGGATTGGAATTTGTCCTATCCTGTACCATCTTTCTCACCTCTGATAAACTTGATCCCATTGTTGCAACCTTGGTGTCGATACATCTAGTTGAAGGTCTTCCTTTCTTTAGCTGAGCCACCACCTTTTAATCATGATGTCCTTTACCAAAGAATACCCTCTCCTAACAATATGGACAGAGCATATGAGACAAAGCTTCGCTGTCCTTGCCTCTAAGGAGCACTCCAGCCACACTTTCTTCAAGACATGTCTGTTTGTTCTTTCAGCAGTCCGTCCATGGGACACTTAGAATTCCTCTCCAAATCCTAGTGCAAAGGAATCTATCTCTGCAAAGGTACGTTAAATCAGACATTCCATCTAGTACTGAATGTAAGTGTGAAAGACTAACTATCTTAAAAACTCTATGAATACAAACTCAACATGTTTCTAACACAGTAAATTTCATACAAGGAGATAACTGTTTTTTTTTCTGTGGATCCATTCCATGCAACAAGGACTGTAATCTTCAATATGGTTCGAAGCTCAACATCAGGAGACAAAGATTCACACCACTTGGTCAATTGACAACATCATGATAGATGGAGAAGAGACTGAGGTTGTTAGCAATTATGGCTTGTTCAGATCAACAATCAACACTCTTACCACCAGCCGTCAGGAAATCAAAGATGAATTTCATTGGGAAAATCTGCTGTCACAACCTCTCCAGTGTACTGAAAAGCAGCAATGTCTGTCTAGATACAAAGGTGTGCCTAATCCAGGCCATGGTTTTCTCAATTACTTCTTATGCTTTAGAGACTTGGGCAATGACTAATGATGACAGAAGAAGAACAGATGCTTTCGAAATGTGGTGCCGGAAGAGAGACTTGAACATACCAGTTACTGCCAAGAAAATAAATCAGTAGGTCTTGGAGAGGGTGAAACCAAGTTTCTCCATGGAAAGTAGGATTTTGAAACTCTGTCTCACCTACTTTTGGCATGTGACCAGGAGGCACCAGTCCTTGAAGAAGGACATCATCATGCTCAGAAGGGTAGAGGGACAGAACAGGAGAGGAAGACCTTGGATGAGATGGATTGATACTGTATCTGGGACAATGGGGGTTAATGTGTTGGAATTAGTGAAGCTGGCTTAGGACAGGGAAGGGTTCAGAGATGCTGTACGTAGGGTCACTATATGTCACAGGTAACTCAATGGCACATAACAACAAAAAACATACTATATTGGTTGTTTTTTGTTGAAGTCTCTTGTTTAGAGTCAACAAGACTTTGGGGAAGGCCTTTGTATTGAAAAGTTGGGTTGATATTTTGAAGAAACATTCTTCTAAGTGCTGCAGCACTCTTCTGTTAGTATGCTATACTGAAGTAATCTGGGAGTTGATTATTTGCAAGACCACATGTCCACAATTAAGATAACTGGAGACACAGGCGGGTTGTGGTATGGTGTGTGATTTAGAGCCTCATAAAATTCTCTAAGCTGGTAATAAATAAAATATTCACAAGATAACACCTCCATTTTTATAAAGCATATAAACTAGAAAATGCCCTAAAG